TTATCTGCCGACAGGGCCTGAAGCCAGACTCAACTTGGCTCCTTTTGTCTCGCAACCACTGCAGTTGGTCTCCGCAGCTTCTAGTGCTTCTTCGACTGGTGGACCTGCATCGTCCTCGCGCAGCTCGGTGTTCAGAATGAGAAATTCAGATCGATGCAAAGTTGGAGGAAGACTACGATGGAGTAGATCCTGTTTTCCTAGTCGTCCCACTATCCCTTCAGATTGCTGCAGTCCGAATGAGTCGCCTTGTTCCCGTGGCATTCGTATTCATTGGGATGAAATAGAGGATGAAGCAGACGAAGAGGAGTCGAGATGTCGCATCGATGACGTGGATGATGATGAAGACGATGAGGATTATGATGATTCAGTGGGTGACGCTGATTTGGAAGGCTTCCCATCAGGCCTTGATAAGTCACCTCTCGGCCGTGAAGATTATGCTGAAGTGTACGAGGATGCAACAGATGAATTCGGGGTTGAAGAAGCTGACGAAACACATCGGTTCCTCAAAAAGGTTATATTGATATGTCTATTTTACTTTGAAATTTAATTTAAATCTAACGTTGGTTTGATCCCATTTTCGTAACTTGATCGGGGCGGCATGTAGATCTTGTGGAATGTACCTAGTCTTGCGTCCTCTGCCTTAATATTCATGATTTCTAGCATCGAACCGTTGACTTATTGCATTCCCAGTCGTTTCGCTGGCATCGTCATTGATTCAAATTTGATCTTGTTGCAGTCTGTGAGTACATTTTTATCAGTGTATCTTTGCCTCAAATGCAAATTGACCTAATCTTATCTTCAGTATTTTACATCTATGATAAACTGTCTTTTATTCTTTGTAGCTATGACTAAGGAATATACACTTATTATTTCCGAGATCTTATAAAGAACTACTTGCGAGTTTTTCTGGACAGTTATATAAAATTTTACTATTCTATATTACTCGTTTGGGGAATATTGATAAAAAATACCTCGACAACACATAAGTTGTAAAAAGGCCTGCTTCTTGAATGAGAGATTAAATATCTAAATGATTGCATTCTTGATGGAGGGAATTGTCATGAGCAAATATCTTGTCAAGTACAGCCATCACGGATGAAATTATAAATAGTTTAGGGCCAACAGTAAGTCTAAATACGTCTCTATTTTCATAGCAGAGGTCGTAGTGATACGACTTAAGAAGCCCTATGAGTTTAGCTAAACACATATTTGGTTTGATCCATTTGGTTTCCCACTATTTTTTATTGATAAATTTGTTTAAAAAAATATATATACTTACGAATTCTCATGTTTTATGAATAAATTATGAGTCGCAAATAATCTAAAAAGTATCCTCGATATCTATACATATTCTTAGTTATGTATAAAAACTAGGCTTAGAAGAATCCTTTAATAAATTGTTCTTGAAGTACCTTTCTTTTCTTCGAAGAGACGAATAGAAGGAATTCGTAGGTTGTTCCGACCGGAAATCGGAGAGGACTTTCCCCGGAGCTGTGACTGTAGATCTGTGCGAATATGTCCTCTGCGACCCCGATGAATCATTGCTGAGCTATCGTGCGTCTTGTGACGGACATTGTCAGAGCAGGACATCATGCTTAATAATGAATTATCAAAACACGAAGACTAGAAAGGTGGCCTGCAAATCTACCCACTTTTTATTGTCCAACTTGATTTAGCTGAATATACTATGTTTTTGTTAAATGTGTACTGAAAAGTTAAGTGGCTGTGGATTAAGCGTGTAATCGAATAGTTGCATTCTCCCCTAAAACACTTATATTTTTGATCCTGCAAGGTTGCTGCATGTGATTGCGTTCCATTTCATGCATGTTGTGTAAATGCATTTCTCTCTAAATGTCAGCATAGGGTCTCTAGTGGAGTGATCTAGCCTTTTATCTAGCCCAGATTATATATTTCCCTCCATCCTATTAACTTTGTTCTAAAATATTTGTCTGTCAGTCCTCGGATAATTATTCTCAACCAGAATTCTCCTTTATCTCCTCAAATTCTGGTCCCAATGCTTAACATCTGCTAGACGCAGGCCCCTTATTATCATATACTTCATAACTCCTACTTTAACCCCATATGTGTGGCTGGAAAATAAATTCAAAATAAACCTGCCTTTGTGGATTTCCTTTACATATATCTACCTAATCTGGTTCCCTCTTTGCTAACTAGGACATCTAGAAAAAGTAAACGACCTTTCTTTTCTAACTCGATGGTGAATTTCGTCTTCCAATCTATCCTGTTCATCAAAGCAAGGAAGGTATCCAGGTTTTCTTTGTTATGCTGCCTAACGGCAAATTAATCGTCCATGTATCCAACTAATAATTTAGAGACTAAACGTGCCTTTTGAAATAGGCATGTAATTGTTTACTAAAATTGGCTACAAACACGATCCAGTAGCTAAACCTCGTGTTTGTTCGTACAGTTTACCATTAAGGGTAAAATATTGGCCATTATCGTCAGATTCATCAGTAAACTTACTGGCACTACTTAACTTCGTACTCCCTAAAATCTCCGGATGTTGTTCCAGTGTTGCGCCTGTGGCATCGTCCGCATAAATGTTAGAATACGAACACTAAGCATCAAAACTTATAAGCATATCCATATTTTTCATCCCCTGTCCGTAAAGTAAGTTGGCGAATTTGTAAGAACTCTGAGCTGAAATCCGCCGCATATCAGTGATTTACTTAAACTAGGAATAAATAAATCGTACTTTTTTATGCATCATTTACAATTATTCTAAGTGTGACTCCATCTTTACCTATTTTGTACATTCGGAGGCCTAGCACTTCATTGAAGAAGAGTGTTCATCTTCCACTTCTTCAGTTCCCTATTTGGAAGCTAAAGACGAACCCGCTTTTTCAGCGAGATGTCACGCCTCCTAAGGATATGCTCTACTCAAAATACATGAAGATGAAGTCACTTAGAATTATTGTGAATAATAAAGGCAATGTGATGCATAAAGCGTCACCATTTATTTGTCACTAGTTTAAGCAAACCTCCGAAGTGTGACAGAGTTCAGCTAAGAATTCTCATGAATTCGTAACTTCGTCGGCGAGCAAGAGTTAGAAAATGGAGATCTGCTCGTAATTTTTTATGTTGAGTCTATGCATTTTAACATTCCCATTCACATTAGTGAATTATCATAAAGCATAGAGGTGGGTTGACTCCGTTTTCGCAACTTGGTCCTGTTGTCAAGGTGATTTAGTTGAACAAACCTTGTCCTAAGTCCTCTGACACATTAGTTATCCTAATTATCAGCATCAGACCGTGGACTTGGTACATTCTCAGATGTTTCGCCGACATCATCAGTAATTCTCTGCACCAAGCTACAAACTCGCCAAAGAGACAAATAAAGTCAATCCCTCGACCAACGTTCTGCCGGAACGAAGACTGCGACCATACTGAGGGCCACACCATTTTGGTCTTCATATCGATTATAAAGCATGTTATCCTAAACAGACGATGTTCGTCACATGAAGGACAAAAGCTATGTAAGGATTATCGAGGTCACAGGACGGTGCGCCGTCTACTTAATCGCATACATATACGCTCACAGCTCTGAGTCAATCTCCCTCCAGCTTCCGATGGGGCCAACTTACGAATCCCTTCCACGCTACTTAGACTAAATGTAAGGTACTCCAACATTATATTTTTTATACTACCTTCATCCAAATTACTATCCTACTCTTTTGTCAGACTGAAGAAATTTTCAATATAAATATTCCCGAGGAATATTTTCTATAAAGTCCCAACTTCTAAGCTCCTTATCTATTTTTGTCTATCTACATACACTATCTTGTATCTTGTATCTAATCCCAGCTTTTTAAAAGAAATACTTGTTGTCCTAAAACAGGTATAAATTACGCTGTTATGTTCCAAAGAAGGACGTGGACTGCCTTTAAAATATAAAACGCTTGCCCTATACAACTCTAAAGATGGAGGCCCCGAAACGAAGCGAGAAAAAAAAAGTTTTACCAATACAGTATGATTGAGCTGACAATAGAAAGACAATCGATTAAAGATGGCGCGAAATAGAATATTCGCGGAGGTGGGAAAGAGAAGGAAGAGAAAGTGACTATGCGGTGCCAAGCTTTGATTGGGCGACGCGAACTAAATAG